CGTGATCCTTGAATCTCTCTAACGCTTTACCCCACGAGTTGAAACCTTCTGTATCGTAAGTTGATAAGACTCTCTGCGAATTTATTCCAGTCGATGCTATTGGCAGCTTCAATGCGGCTGCTGTTTTGCAAATAGTACAAAAAATTTTATCGAGTGTACTGTCATATGTTATCCATGGATAAGTGACACTCCACGTGTCACGAAACTGTCTGCCCTTCTTTCTACTAGACGTTATGGTTTTACTACCATTGTAACTCTCAACAGATGTCGATGGAACTGGAACAGGTTGTTCATTCCTCGTAGCCTGATGAGTTTGTATCGGAGTACGTATTATGAACTTATCCATTTCTAGTGATCAGGAATCTAGAATGGAAATTTCACACTTCATTCGTGTTGTCACAAAACAAAAGCATTTTAATACACAATTGAAGCGTTTATTTGAAAAACAACGCATGTTCATTTTTTGAAAATTTGACTTTATATGTTGTTCGCATAAAATAGTAGTTTTTATCGATCTCGCACATTCAGTTGTGTAAAAATCCCAAATGTCCGGAGTAAACTACATAGAATATTCGGATAGTTTTAGAAAAACAACAGATATCCAAGCGGTATGTTGTAAAAGCAACACTTGTCCCATCTTAATCAACGGTTATCGCTAAACGTGAATGATTTTGTCTATAAATTTATCAGTTCAATAAGTTGTGTGCGTTCTTTGTTAATAACAGGTGATGTTTGTTTCTTTTGTAATAGAAAACTAGTTCAGCATGGCAGAAACTGTTCAACACAATACCTCCGCTAATGTTATGAATATTATAGATGATATAGATTATTTCGCTAAGTTTCTACCGATTTTTGTTTAATATATCTATAAAAATATGAAATCAACTTGTACAATTATTTTGATATCCACATTCCTTCCAATGAATATCTTAGTAAAAGAAAGATTTGAAATAAATTGAAGCTGGGCAGTTTTTCTTGATTTGCCAAAATTTTAATTCTTGGACAATAACATGTTGTTTTTCAAATAAACGCTTCAAATATTTCCCCTTTGTACTTACCTGTCTTAATCTATTTACAGTGATGGCACATCTCCTCACAAAAAAAAACGCACCGTATGCCTGACAAATTGAAATATATTCGACTGGTTTATCTTGCAACATTGAATAAACACACAAAACCAGCAAGTGAAGGATGCACGATGCACGTCCGAGAATTCAACCCGAAGCACTGGAATTCGCACCGGACAGATTTACCTGTCCGGGGCGCGGGCACCACAGCACCCACGTAGTCGGCGCCAGTGGATAGCCTGATTGTTGTATTAGCCAGTTCCTCCTCGTCAATATGTCCGATCTCTCACATTAAGTTTTTGTTGTAAACTAATTTCCTTGTTTGTGAAAGCGACAATATTTTATCGGAATATCATCAGTGAACAACATGGACCATGTTGAAATTCTACTAGTTACTTGTTGAGCAGCACCTTTAGTTTCTTCAGCAAATGAATCACTAAATTTCTTTTATTGGTCCGACGTGACTTTGTTCACTTTTCTGTTACATTTGAAGCTATTTCTCCCACATAGTTTGGTAGGTACTTCCTCAAATTGCACATATTCTGTGTTTTTCGTTATTTGTAGCTGATAGAGATTCGCACGGAATTTCAGGACTTATTAAAAGTGACTCTGACTGAGCTTGGAGCCAATATGACTTCTTTGCTGCTGCAAGTTATCATAATAGTATCAATCTCCGAATCTTCTCCGGTACATAATCATTAGAATCTTCGTTATTCTCCGGTATATAATTATCCTCGAAATCGTCGTCAGGCTCTGGACGTGACTTTGTTCACTTTTCTGTTACATTTGAAGCTATTTTCCCACAAAGTTTGGTAGGTACTACCTCAATTTGCACATATTCAGTGTCGTTTTCGTTATCTGTAGCTGATAGAGATTCGCACGGAATTTCAGGACTTGTTAAAACTAACTCTGACTGAGCTTGGAGCCAATATGACTTCTTTGCTGCTGCATGTTATCATAATAGTATTAATCTCCGAATCATTCTCCGTTACATAATCATTAGAATCTTCGTTATTCTCCGGTATATAATTATCCTCGAAATCGTCGTCAGGCTCTGGACTATATCATCATCGGAACCTTCTTCAGGCTTCGACCTATGATTGTCTATTATTATGTAGTCCTCAGGACTATCATTTTGATCACCGGGTTCAAAATCTGAGAGATTCTCAATTATTGCATCCAGTTCCTTTTAGGTTGATGGTCTGTGAGTCTATTATTCATGTTTAAACTGTAAGTAAAAGCGCCTTTAAAACCCTAACTACATCAATAAAACAAATAACTTACCGAAATACTATTTTGGGATCGATGTAAAAATTTAATGTTGATACCACCCAAGGTACAGCTGTACTCCAAAAACAACGCACATGTTAAAAAATCGCATTTATGACTCAGCGACTGTTGCAGTTTCGCAACTGTGTCTAAACATTTGTAATGTATTAACAGATTTTTTGATAGTAATTACTATCTACTATTAGTAAATTTACTAATGTTTGTATTTTGAGAACGATTTCCGAAGTGGAAATTGAAACGTCAATATACGTATTTTAACCTCTAATTGTGGCTTATTTCACATGTTCGGCAGGGCTGTGTGTTGTCTCCAACCTTGTTCAATGTCTACGCGGAAGAAGTTATTAAAAAAGCTCTTATGAACGAAAAAGCCGGAGTAAAGATCAACGGTCACCCCATTTGCAATATCCGATATGCTGATGATACCGCGCTCATAGCAGAAAATATTGACGACCTATAGAGATTACTAAACAAAGTGGTAGAAGCAAGTGAAGAATTTGGTCTGTTACTGAATACAAAGAAGACCAAATTCATGATAATTACAAAGAAACGTATCAATAATATCAACTTACATGTAGGACAGAATCTCATTGAACGAGTACAAAATTACAATTACCTCGGAACAAATATTAACGAGTCAAACGAATACACCAGAGAAATAAGAATAAGAATAGAGAAAGCCCGCAGTGCCTTTAACAATATGAAACAAATGTTGTGTAGCCGAAACCTAAGCCTAAAGCTGAAAATACGAACGCTTAAATGTTATGTTTTCTCGGTCCTGTTATATGGGGTGGAGGCGTGGACACTAAATAAGCAATGTATGGGTAAGCTGGAGGCATTTGAGATGTGGGCGTACCGAAGAATGTTAAAAATCTCCTGGAAGGATAAGATAACTAACCAAGTTGTATTAGACAGGATGAACAAACAAAAGGAAGTCGTATTGTGTGTTAAAATGAGGAAACTACAATACCTGGGACATATTACACTTGGGAATAAATATCAACTGTTACAACTAATTATGCAAGGAAAGATTGAAGGTAGGCTCAGCATAGGTAGGAGAAGAATGTCATGGTTGAGAAACCTGAGGGAGTGGTTTGCTTGCACTTCCATACAATTGTTCCGAGCGGCAGCCTCCAGGGTCAAAATTGCCATGATGATAGCCAACCTTCGTAGCGGAGATGGCACGTGAAGAAGAAGCACATTTAAATAGTAATTACTGTAAAATGCCACAAGAAAATAGCTTCAGAACAAGACTTTTTAATAGGTTCGATTCTCCCTGTATATTTAAACTGAGATTTGCGGTGTAAGTGGCGCAGCGATTTTAAGGGCTAAAGATTGCAAGGTGGGCCATCTACGAGATAACAAGGGACGATTCCATATGCCAATGAGAGAGATGTGTTTTTTGAAGATAAAATCAGAGTCGAGTTTTATCTTGCAAACCATATAGATGTGTATACGTTTTGGGTACCTGAAACTTCGTATCGGTCTGGCGGCCGAGAGAGTCGTCAAATGCAGTCCATGATAAACTTGGTGGTTCCTGTTCGTCGGTGAAGACATCTTTTGCGATAGCCGGGGTGCTATCTTTTCACGGGGTAAAGTACAACTTATATAAACCATTACAACACGTACGTTTACTGTGTAGAATCGCTACATTATTATTCAATTATTTGGCAAGTTGAAACTGTTTGTGCTATAATTGACATTATATCGCGGGTTGAACATTTTAACCGTTTGAGAACATTTTACGTAAACGTAACCTTTATCGTAGATTTGTGTATTTATTAAATTGTAATAATTTCACTATTCTTTTTTGTATGCATAACACAGCTTTTACGTGATGAGTTTATTAATTGTATTAATTTCATTGTTAATTTAATGTGTATTTCATTACCGATTATACCTTCAATTAAGTTTATTAATATTTGTATTTACTAATTACTATTAAACTGGGAATAAGCCACAAGTAAAGATAAAAATACGTATTTTTATCTTTAATTGTGGCTTATTCCCAGTTTAATAGTAATTAATTTACAATGCCACAAGAAAATAGCTTCAGAACAATATTTGTATTTACGTTTAATATAATTCATATATGTTAATTCTGATTGCATTTTGTGTAACTTTTATCAACAAGGTTTGTTCATTTTACCACAGTTTTCTATTCTTAACATTGTTGTATTTTTGGTCTTGTTTCATATGAACTAATCTTTAAGTTTATATATATTCCTCTTTAATTATAATTGCATGTGGTTATGTATATTTATGTTTAATTTCACCTCTTTTTAAAATAGAGTTTTATATAGTCCGCTGACTTTCATTTCTTTTCTTTTCTTTTAACATACATACCCAATCAGAAAGGGAGAAACCAGCGAGTTCTAGATTGAACAGAATATCATTCTCTCCCCCTTCAGGATGACCCCAATTGTTATATTGAGGTTATCGTATGTGCAGAATGCAACAGCGACTGCAACATACTTAACAACTGACTTGCTAAAAGAAGAAATTACACGGGGGCGCGTTATTGTATTGCCAAGAGTCAAAAAATTATAGAACTTTCACGACAGCCTGGAGTAAAACTGTACCCCGAGTAGTAATGCAGGGTTAATATGCTCTTGTTTAAAATCTCAAAAATTTCTTATAACTTACCTGAAAACATTGGCATAGTCAGTTCAGGATGGAGCAAAGATAACTGGCGAGACAAATGTATCTGAGATCTACAGTATGTGGTAGCTAGAATTGTGTCCAAAGTACTTCTTCCTTTATCTCCTTCCGCTAAAAAATATATAGCAATAAATAACAGAAATACAACTTAGTTCAAATAAATAAATTTGGTTATAATAGTAAATAATAAACATTTGTTTTTATTCTTAGTTTGTTTCTTAATTTAAGCCTTACTAAGAAGAGTAATATATTTCTTATTTAGTAAGATTTCCCCAATTTCTGCTGTGATGAAGATATCAATGACTTTCGTCATTTACAAGAATTATATAGGGCCATAAGAGCCAACATCAGTAGCAATAATGGATTACGACTGAAAAACTTAGCAGCAGCACTTAACATGACAGTCTCTAGCACCTATTTTGAACACAAGAACATACACAAGGTAACCTGGACCTCTTCTGATGGAAAAACAACGAGACAGATTGATCACATCTTAATAGATTCAAGGTATGGAAGAAACGTAATAAACGAAGTTATAGAGAACATCACCAACAGGCTAAGGAATCAAAATGTAAATGAAGAAGGCCAGACAGATATAGACTCCTACTGAACCAGAATAAAGAAAGACATTGAAGCAGCAGCGAAAGAGGAAGTAGGAATAGAAACAAACAAGAGATAAGATACAAATAAAAGACAACCACAAGACAATGCAGAAGTCAGAATGGCGATCTATTAACAATAAGGAAAGATGTATTGATTAGATGTGATGAAATTCCATTCCACATGATATAAATTTTCAACCCAGCCGATATTGCAGTTCTTAGAGGGAATAAAGAAAGATATTTAACGGTACTTCTAGGGGTAGGACAACTTCGCTACCTGTCTACATAATTTGGATATTATCACAGTTCAGTTTAGAAAAAGCTATTACAAAAGTCGGTCGCAAAATCACGTAAGCTAACCTCGTTAGCTCGCAAATACTCGCTTCGCTTATTAATATATTATACGTATTTGTAACTAAGTAGTTCGCATCGCATTATTATTCATAAAGATTATCAAGCCAATCATTTATAGTAAGCAGTGTTTCCTAAAACCACAGTTATAGTTTTCATATAAACAGTTCATCTATTCAAACTAGCAGTGTTGAAAGTAGTTCGCTTTAAACATAGAAACGACATTCCGCTAAGTAATTCTACTTGTATGTGTTATATATAATAGTGAAAATAACGTCAGTGAGAAGTGTAGTGAAGTATCCCATATCACAGTGTTTTCGGACGGCTATCAGAAATTTCTATTTAATCTTAGCATTAAAAATATAAGTTAGTGTTTAATTATGTTTTTTATTCCAGCCCCTGTCTGATGGTCCTTCGTCCTTCAATTCTTTAAATGAACTAATGTTCAACCAAGATGGGTGGAATACTTTAACCAGGCACTTAATATAGAGGAAGAAGAAGAAAACCTGGATGACGTCAGAGAGGAGGTAAGGGGAAGAGACGAAAGGGAAGAGGAACCACCAACGATTCTTGAAGTTATAAATGCAGTTAAAAAGCTAGCCAGAAATCAATCACCCGGAATAGATATTCTCCCAGCTAATCTATATAAAAAAGGTGGCCATGATACCATAATGGCATTACAGCAGCTTATAAAAGAAATATGGACACAAAAATCCCTTCCCTTCTTCTTATGGTGCCCTATTCAATTAGTGGATGTTGGCGACAATTCTGGCATACTCCTCTCGATCTTATGTGCCTCTAAAGAGTGCATGGGCATCGAGGTTTGTCCAATCCCTTATGTTTTTAAGCCATGAGTATTTCTTTCTTCCGATGCCCCGTTTTCCTTCTATCTTCCCTTCTATAATAAGCTTTAAGATCTGGTACTTGGAATTTCGAAATATATGACCCAGATAAGCAGTTTTTCTTCTTTTTATTATTGGCAGCAATTCTCGTTCTCTGCCCATTCGATTTAATACTTCGACATTTGTTGTGTGATCTGTGCAGGGAATTTTAAGTAGTCTTCTAAATACCCACATTTCAAAGGCCTCCAATCGGTTCATCACATCGGCCTTTATGGTCCAGGTTTTTACACCATATAGCAGTATGGAGTAAATGCAACATTTTACAAAGCGCTATCAAAGTTCTCATATTAGTAAATACTGTTCTGGCTTGCTCAATTCTGCTACGTATCTCTACGTCTGGATCTAAATCTTCGGTTATCCAACTACCGAGATACCTTTTGGATGTTCGTATTGTTAACCCTTATATTTAATTGCATGTTTCGTGTTCTACTAACCACCATTACCTTTGTCTTGTCTATATTAATCTTCAAGCCCAGTCGTTCTCCTTCAGTGTTTATTCTATCTATCAGTCGTTGTAGCGCTTCTTGGCTATCAGCTATTATGACTGTATCATCAGCATAGCGAAGATTACTAATAGTCTGTCCGTTGATTATCATTTCATCTTCAGTGTCATTTAAGGCTCTATCGAAAATCGTTTCAGAGTAAAGATTAAAAAGGAGGGGTGACAGAACACAACCCTGTCGTACACCTTTTTCGATTGAGAAATATGATATAGATTCCAGTCCTACTCTCACAGATGCCACTTGATTCATATAAAGGTTCTTTATGATTTTAAGGTCATTCTCATCTATCGAACGGTCCTGGAGCAATCTTACTAATAATGAATGATTAACACAATCTAACGCTTTCTGGTAATCTATAAAGAATAGGAAGACATCTTTTTGATGATCTCTTCATTTCTGAAGTAGGATAATTAAGCTGTAAAGTAAATTAAGCTCTTGTGCCAAATCGTTGTCTGAAACCGAACTGTGTGGGGCTAATGTCTCTTTCACATCTGTTGTGTGAATTATCTTTCAAGAAGAATTTTAGGACCTGGCTCAATAAGCTGATCATTCGGAATTGGTCGCAACTATTAGCGTTTGGCTTTTTTGGGATTGGTATAAAGGTTGATTGAAGCCAATCCTGTGGTATTTGACCAAACCCATAAATGTCATTAAAAAGATCTACCAAGGCCTCTATAATGTCTTCACTCAACATTGTTAAAACTTCTATGTATATGTCGTCTGGGCCTGGTGCTTTTCCCCATTTGCTCTATTTTATTGCCCCTATAACTTCTGACGTCAATATTTTGGGGGAGGGTTCACTTTTATATTCACTTTCAGAGTTACTTCTATTGTTGTCTGAGTATAGTTGCTGTGTGTAGTTTCTCCAATGTTGAAGTAGATCCTTAGGATCAGTAATTTATTTATTGTCGTTCACAATACTGTTAAAACTTCAATGTTTTGTATGACCTGTCACTTCTTTAACGAGTTTATGTATGTTAAAGTGGTCATGTTTTTATTCCAAATCCCTCTCCAATGATTGGAATATTGACACACTTTGCTACATACACAAAAAAGGAGATATTTTTGAATGCTCTAACCACAGAGGAATTACGTTTCTAAATACAGCGTATAAAATATTTTACACAGTACTATGTCACCGTATGGCACCATATGCCGAACGGATAGTAGGAAACCATGAAACAAATTTTAGAAAAAAACACTGGAATATGGCATTGATACTCATCGCCTTATATTTATAGACTACAAAGTAGCCTACGAGTCTGTGAATAGAAGAGAAATGTTCAAAGTAATGAAAGAGCAAAATATCAAATCAGTTGGTAAATTTAACAAAATTAACTCTTGAAAAACTCTTTTAAAACAAATAACAGCTACATAGTTACTTTTTCAGCGACCAGATTTTTTTTCTCGGTGTAGTAAATTTTACGATGGTTAGTGTAAATGAAGATAAAAATAAAGTTGGTACTCTAGGGTTAAACCACAAAAATTTGCGGAGAAATTTGAAATGTCTATTTTAACTTCTCTGGTAAATGCATAGAGCTTTTTTTTAACTGTTAAGCTTTTATCAAAACTTCGGAATCAATCTCCCTCAATATTTTCTTCGAGCAAAATTTTGTAGCCCCGCGTTCAATTTTAAAATACCAACGGTGGCCCGTATTAGTTATCTATATTTAACTTAGTTATAATTTTTAACTTGTTTATTCATTTTTTTTTATCTTTTAGCTTAATATCTCGTTTATTTAATATTACTCAAAACGTTCATTAGTTGTTTATAGAAGTGAACCATCCCAATTTTTTCGCCCCTCGAAATTTACTGTGGGTTCCAGGGCACCCGCGTAACCCGTTGTTGCCACGCCTATGGTTTGTGTACTACAAAATGATTGGCGCCAATGGTGCCTGCTATAATCCGGTCCTTTAAGCTGTGGGCACGATTGCGCCTCGCCGGTGCGGTGGCAGATTTAATCCTCAGGTATGGAACCATTGTATGATATTTTAGATACTGGAATTTCTGATCTTCTAGGAAAATTCGTAAAAATCTTAAAATAAGTAGGCTGTTTATTTTATTAGTTACTTAAGTTACTATACCTTATTTTATTAAGCGATGCAGGGCATATAAACAACGAAAAATTTAACAGATAATTGTTAAAGATGTTCCAAATGAGTCTACTCGTTCCGATAAGTAATAGTATAATTATGACACTTTATTATTTTTTTTTCTTTTCTCAACTATTAGTGTTTATTGCATAGTAAATAAATTATTGTTATCACTGAATACATAGTAAGTGAAAAAAATAATCCGATTCCAACTTCTTCAAAAATATTTAAAAACTAACCTACTCATATACTCATCTTTATTTTGTCTGCCGACGTTGTTGGCAGCTCATACAGTTTCGGACACGATCTAATGTTTACATCTACCTGCATCGCTTAATGAATTTTACTATAGGCAGAAAGGGTGGATGAGATGTGGGGTTCATATTATTTATAAAACTGGACTCTTTCAAAAACATGGTAATTGTTTAAATTTAATAATTTGCAATATGGAGAAACTTACAAGTGAACGAGGAAAAACCATTGTGCTTTTTCAAAATTTTAAATTTCGAAATTGCGGATTCGTAAATAAGGGTATCAAATGGAGGCTAGGATTCAATCAGTTATGTTATTTTGTACTCAGCCTAAGGCCTTCTTTAAGTCAATAAATCAAAATTTGTCTTATGGTAAATATATTTTTATCCATAGTGACCTATGGCATT